CCATGGAACAGAACCATGGAATGGAACCATGGAGCAGAACCATGGAGCAGAACCATGGAATGGAACCATGGAACAGAACCATAAAGCAGAACCATGGAACAGAACCATGGAGCAGAACCATGGAACAGAACCATGGAGCAGAACCATGAAGCAGAACCATGGAGCAGAACCATGGAGCAGAACCATGGAATGGAACCATGGAACAGAACCATGGAGCGGAACCATGGAACGGAACCATGAAGCAGAACCATGGAATGGAACCATGGAACAGAACCATAAAGCAGAACCATGGAACAGAACCATGGAGCAGAACCATGGAACAGAACCATGGAGCAGAACCATGAAGCAGAACCATGGAGCAGAACCATGGAACAGAACCATGGAACAGAACCATGGAACGGAACCATGGAACAGAACCATGGAACAGAACCATGGAGCAGAACCATGAAGCAGAACAATGGAGCAGAACCATGGAACAGAACCATGGAACAGAACCATGGAGCAGAACCATGGAACAGAACCATGGAACAGAACCATGGAGCAGAACCATGGAACAGAACCATGGAGCAGAACCATGGAGCAGAACCATGGAGCGGAACCATGGAGCGGAACCATGGAAAGGAACCATGGAGCGGAACCATGGAACGGAACCATGGAGCGGAATCATGGATCGGAACCATGGAGCGGAACCATGGAACGGAACCATGGAGCGGAATCATGGATCGGAACCATGGAGCGGAACCATGGAACGGAACCATGGAGCGGAATCATGGATCGGAACTATGGAGCGGAACCATGGAGCAGAACCATGGAACAAAACCATGGAACGGAACCATGGAGCGGAACCATGGAACGGAACCATGGAACAGAACCATGGAACGGAACCATGAAGCAGAACCATGGAGCAGAACCATGGAGCAGAACTATGGAACAGAACCATGGAACAGAACCATGGAACAGAAGCATGGAGCAGAACCATGGAACAAAACCATGGAACGGAACCATGGAGCGGAACCATGGAACGGAACCATGGAACAGAACCATGGAGCGGAACCATGGAGCGGAACCATGGAGCGGAACCATGGAACGGTACCATGGAGCGGAACCATGGAGCGGAAACCATGGAAAGGAACCATGGAGCGGAACCATGGAACGGAACCATGGAGCGGAACCATGGAGCAGAACCATGGAACAAAAACATGGAACGGAACCATGGATCGGAACCATGGAGCGGAACCATGGAGCGGAACCATGGATCGGAACCATGGAACGGAACCATGGAGCGGAACCATGGAGCAGAAACCATGGAACAAAGCCATGGAGCAGAACCATGGAACGGAACCATGGAGCAGAACCATGGAACGGAACCATGGAGCAGAACCATGGAACAAAACCATGGAACAGAACCATGGAGCAGAACCATGGAACGAAACCATGGAGCAGAACCATGGAACAGAACCATAGAGCAGAACCATGGAACGGAACCATGGAACAGAACCATGGAACGGAACCATGAAGCAGAACCATGGAGCAGAACCATGGAACAGAACCATGGAACAGAACCATGGAGCAGAACCATGGAACAGAAGCATGGAGCAGAACCATGGAGCGGAACCATGGAGCGGAACCATGGAGCGGAACCATGGAGCGGAACCATGGAGCGGAACCATGGAAAGGAACCATGGAGCGGAACCATGGAGCGGAACCATGGATCGGAACCATGGAGCGGAATCATGGAGCGGAACCATGGAACGGAACCATGGAACGGAACCATGGAGCGGAACCATGGAGCAGAACCATGGAACAAAACCATGGAACAGAACCATGGAACAGAACCATGGAGCAGAACCATGGAATGGAAACCATGAAGCAGAACCATGGAACGGAACCATGGAACAGAACCATGGAACGGAACCATGAAGCAGAACCATGGAACAGAACCATGGAACAGAACCATGGAGCAGAACCATGGAACAGAAACCATGGAACAGAACCATGGAGCGGAACCATGGAACAGAACCATGGAGCGGAACCATGGAACGGAACCATGGAGCAGAACCATGGAGCGGAACCATGGAACAGAACCATGGAGCAGAACCATGGAACAGAACCATGGAACAGAACCATGGAACAGAACCATGGAACAGAACCATGAAGCAGAACCATGGAACGGAACCATGAAGCAGAACCATGGAACAGAACCATGGAGCAGAACCATGGAGCAGAACCATGGAGAAGAACCATGGAGCGGAACCATGGAGGGGAACCATGGAACGGAACCATGGAGCGGAACCATGGATCGGAACCATGGAACAGAACCATGGAACAGAACCATGGAGCAGAACCATGGAGCGGAACCATGGAGCGGAACCATGGAGCGGAACCATGGAGCAGAAACCATGGAGCGGAACCATGGAGCAGAACCATGGAGCGGAACCATGGAACGGAACCATGGAGCAGAACCATGGAACGGAACCATGGAGCAGAACCATGGAGCAGAACCATGAAGCAGAACCATGAAGCAGAACCATGGAGCAGAACCATGGAACGGAACCATGAAGCAGAACCATGGAACGGAACCATGGAGCAGAACCATGAAGCAGAACCTGAAGCAGAACCATGGAGCAGAACCATGGAGCAGAACCATGGAACGGACCATGGAACAGAACCATGGAGCAGAACCATGGAGCAGAACCATGGAGCAGAACCATGGAACAGAACCATGGAACGAACCATGGAGCAGAACCATGGAACAGAACCATGAACAGAACCATGAACAGAACCATGGAGCAGAACCATGGAACGGAACCATGAAGCAGAACCATGGAATGGAACCATGGAACAGAACCATGGAGCAGAACCATGGAACGGAACCATGAAGCAGAACCATGGAGCGGAACCATGGAACAGAACCATGGAGCAGAACCATGGAGCAGAACCATGGAACAGAACCATGGAACAGAACCATGGAGCAGAACAATGGAACAGAACCATGGAGCAGAACCATGGAGCAAACCATGGAGCAGAACCATGGAGCGGAACCATGGAGCGGAACCATGGAAAGGAACATGGAAAAGAACCATGGAGCGGAACCATGGAACGGAACCATGGAGCGGAACCATGGATCGAACCATGGAGCGGAACCATGGAACGGAACCATGGAACGGAACCATGGAGCAGAACCATGGAACAGAACCATGGAGCAGAACCATGGAACTGAACCATGGAGCGGAACCATGGAGCAGACCATGGAACAAAACCATGGAACAGAACCATGGAACAGAACCATGGAGCAGAACCATGGAACGAAACCATGGAGCAGAACCATGGAACAGAACCATAGAGCAAACCATGGAACAGACCATGGAACGGAACCATGAAGCAGAACCATGGAGCAGAACCATGGAGCAGAACCATGGAGCGGAACCATGGAGCAGAACCATGGAGCAGAACCATGGAGCAGAACCATGGAGCAGAACCATGGAGCGGAACCATGGAACGGAACCATGGAGCAGAACCATGGAACGGAACCATGGAGCAGAACCATGGAGCAGAACCATGAAGCAGACCTGAAGCAGAACCATGGAGCAGAACCATGGAGCAGAACCATGGAACGGAACCATGAAGCAGAACCATGGAACAGAACCATGGAACGGAACATGAAGCAGAACTATGGAACAGAACCATGGAATGGAACCATGGAACAGAACCATGGAGCAGAACCATGAAGCAGAACCATGGAACGGAACCATGGAGCGGAACCATGGAGCGGAACCATGGAGCAGAACCATGAAGCAGAACCATGGAGCAGAACCATGGAACGGAACCATGGAGCGGAACCAAGGAGCAGAACCATGGAACAGAACCATGGAACAGAACCATGAAGCAGAACCATGAAGCAGAACCATGGAGCAGAACCATGGAACAGAACCATGGAACAGAACCATAAAGCAGAACCATGGAGCAGAACCATGGAACAGAACCATGGAACAGAACCATGGAGCAGAACCATGAAGCAGAACCATGGAGCAGAAACCATGGAGAACCATGGAACAGAACCATGGAACAGAACCATGGAAACAGAACCATAAAGCAGAACCATGGAGCAGAACATGGAGCAGAACCATGGAGCAGAACCATGGAACAGAACCATGGAGCAGAACCATGGAACGTTTCCTCTTCAGATGGAAGATCAGATTTAGAAATCCTTCGTTTGGTGCCTCTGGTTAAGGCAGCAGAAAGAGGGAACATTTGTTTCCTCTGAATTTACTCTGCAGTTTTCATTCTCCCCTTCACTCTTTCACTGTTTAGCAGAAACAATCAGTGGAACTCACATCTCTGATCTGCTGCTCAGCAACAGAACCCGGAGAACCGAACGGCTCCTGGACTTCAGCTGCTGCATCCTGGCTGCACACAGCAGCATCCCAGATCCTTCCTCCCAGCAGCATCACTGCTGCAGCAATCTGCACCTCTTCATTTGATTTATTATCACTTCTATCAGAAATAAACTCATCCTGTGTATTTTTAAATGATCCTCTTTTACAATGTTTCTCATTATTGCTCGTGTTTATTTCTACTTTACAGACTTTTATTATTCTATGTTTTTAACCAAAACTTGCTGTGATCATACTTGATTGTCACCACTAATCGAGAGTAAAGGTCATGTATTTTCCTGAATCTCCAGTCTGGATTCAGACTCAACAGACTTTAACGTCTGGCAGCAGATCCAGGGTTCAGTTGGGATTCCTGGTTCCTGGCAGGCAGTGAAACGAAAACAATGAGAATAAAGAGGAGTAAACATCAGCATGGTGACCGAGTGGGAAAACAGGATTAGCTGAGGTGTTCTGCTCTGCCTCCATGACTCAGATCCAGCTCCTAACAGGCTTACTGCATTACAGGATTACAGAGCAAGGATTCCCCTGATGCCTTCACCTGATGGGAGGTGAGACGAGGCCGCAATGAGATCAGAGCCAGAAAAAACGAAACCAAACGCTGCCTACCCGTCTGTCCGAGGAAACCAGCCGCGAATTCCTGCAGGAGCTTCCCGATGACGGATCTGTGCGTCTTCCTGAAGGGATGGATCGTCCCCTGCAGGCCGAACGCAGGAACATGAGGAAACAAGAAATCAGACGTAAAATAATCACAATCACCTCACTGCTTCATGTCTGAAGCATTTTCTACAACAAGAAAGCTGAATAAAACATGTTGAGTGATTATTAATCATTAATAAATCCGTTGATCAAACCACAGAGCAACAAGGCCAGAGTCTGTTTTTAAAGGCGGTATTATCTTCAGTTTTTAAGGCGGTATTATTAGGTTCAACAGGAAGGTTCAGACACAATCAGTTCAGCCAAACACTGGCCAACACTGCCACCAAGTGGTGGATCTTTGTATGACATGTGAAATAAATGCATCAATTAAAAACTTTTAGATTAAATTTACTTAAATTCAAGAGACCAAATATTCATTTATTTTCATCTTAAAACAGATTCATCAGGTCATCCTTGAACAGTCCAGACCAAAAATGTCCAAACTTTGTGAAAACTGTCAAGTTCAATGAATACAAAAACATGAGGTTTTGCTACTTTTATGTAACTTTTTTCCTCTTACTGACAACACGTCACATATCTGGACTGAAGATTTTGGGGTTGATTAGTTTACTTTTATCCAGAAAAAAATATAAACCTGCCCCAGTTTCACTGCCATGGTCTGCTTTTAAGTAAAAGCTGCTGGATATTCATGGCTTTATTTCCTGAAATTGAGCAGGAGCAGCAGGAAAAGCCGAGTTTTAAAGCTGTGTGTTTCGGTCAGGTTAACGCAGAGCGTCACAGAGGAGACCTACCAGGACGTAGGCGTCGTGTTCGTGCTTCTTCCTGTGCAGGGGAACATCTGAGGAGACAAACATCTTCAGTCATCAGGAAACAGGAAAACCGGCTCAGACATCATGCTTAACGCTGACGATGAGGAACCTTCATCAAAACATAAACACTGAAAACTTACAGCATTAGGAAAAAATCAAGTTTAATGAATCTTTATAAATCACTGTCTGTTTCACGGCTGAAACGACTAAATGTATTAATTGTGATTAATCAATAATTGAAAAAATCATCAACTAATTTAGTAATTAATTAATACCTGCAGTATTCAGACTCAGATAATCCATTTGTTCAAAGAGTCTGAACTTTTCACATAATGAAGGATTTTTTCATCCTTTGCTGCAAATGATCAAACATTAACTAAAGATTAACTTTAATAAAACGTTGATTCCGTTACATAAAAGAACTAAATACTCAAACAGTCTCCCAGGTTCTGGGTTGCTCTGTTGCTACAGGAGGTGCAACAGGAGCCTGTAGTCCTGTGGTCGTGGGTTCGATTCCGGTCAGTACCAGGCCGGTTTGTGGATGTGTGTTCTGTTCTGCTGCAGACAGAGATTAAAGCTGGTTCCGGTTCTGTTCCTGAGTAACTTTCCCAAATCTTTGCTTTAAACTGTAAACATTATTCAGTGAATGAAGCGCTGAGATCCTGATGGACCTGAAAGTCCTGGACGGTTCGCTGTGACCCGGATTTAGTGACCCGGATCTCCGTGAACAGACTGATCTGAATGAGAAGCTGAGCGGGTCAACCCGAACCAGAACCAGAACCGGTTCTGGTTGCCAATTTGCAGCTGACTGGATCTTCAGAACCACACAGCAGAACCAGCTGTTAGCTGTTAGCACAGCTAGCATAACAAACCTGGTTCCTTGATATTGATGACGTCCACCGACACCATATCCGGTTTATCCAGCGGAACCACCTTCCGCTCCGTCACCCCGGACGGAACCACGTCCGGCTTCGAACCGAACTTTCTGGGGTAAAAATCCCCCGCTGTTTGGTAAGACAGACCCGGAGACGTGGACATCATTCCGTCCATCGCCATCTTGGACTTCCGCCTCCTTAGTCTTCTTCTTCCTGTTCGTGGAGTGTCGTGACGCAGTTCCGGGTTTACTGCCGCCCCCTACTGGTCATGTCCTGATAATACCCGAGTGTTTCAACTTGTCATCGATAATAAAACAATAAATAAAGGGATTAGATTAGAACAAATTGGCTCCTGATGCAACCAGCTTTAATGACAGAGATTAACTGAAAACAACACAAACTAATAATAAGTAATTCTAAAAAAATGTTTTATCTTGAAAATGTTCACCATATAAGTTCTGAAGGAGAAATTGTCATGGAGAAAAAAGAAGGTTCATGTTGATGCAACAGCAGCACCAGGAACATGTAAAAGCAAACCCCTGCTTTTAGGCCAGAGTAAAAAAAACAATAAATGCTTTTTTCAAACAAAAAATCCTGAAAAATACAATAAAAACCAAAACTGTGAGTCCAGCTGTCAGACAGCTGAATTTTGATCCAAACTGTTGTCAACAGAATAATGATCCTAGAAACAGCAGCAGATCTGCAATCAAAAGACTGAAACATAAACTATCAGGATGCTGCAATGGCCTAGTCAAAGTCCTAATTGAATTGCTATGATGAGACTTTCACAGAACTGCAGACCTCAAATAAAAGGATCCAAGCTTGTTTTTAAGTGGCTGAATAAAAACATGGGATTTCGTTGCCAGTGTGTCCTGCAGGAGTCAAGAGTCAAACTGAAAGAGACGATTTTCATTCATCCAGTCAAACAACCTGGACCGATCCGAGAGACGAACCCACCAAACAGAAACCAAACAGAAACCAAACAGAAACCAAACAGAAACCAAACAGAGACCAAACAGAAACCAGAGACCAAACAGAAACCAAACAGAAACCAAACAGAAACCAAACAGAGACCAAACAGAAACCAAACAGAAACCAAACAGAAACCAAACAGAAACCAAACAGAAACCAAACAGAGACCAAACAGAAACCAAACAGAAACCAGAGACCAAACAGAAACCAAACAGAAACCAAACAGAAACCAAACAGAGACCAAACAGAAACCAAACAGAGACCAAACAGAAACCAAACAGAAACCAAACAGAAACCAAACAGAAACCAAACAGAAACCAAACAGAAACCAAACAGAGACCAAACAGAAACCAAACAGAAACCAAACAGAAACCAAACAGAGACCAAACAGAAACCAAACAGAAACCAAACGGAAACCAAACAGAAACCAAACGGAAACCAAACAGAAACCAAACGGAAACCAAACAGAAACCAAACAGAAACCAAACAGAGACCAAACAGAAACCAAACAGAGACCAAACAGAAACCAAACAGAGACCAAACAGAAACCAAACAGAGACCAAACAGAAACCAAACAGAAACCAAACAGAAACCAAACAGAAACCAAACAGAAACCAAACAGAGACCAAACAGAGACCAAACAGAAACCAAACGGAGACCAAACGGAAACCAAACGGAAACCAAACGGAAACCAAACAGAAACCAAACAGAAACTAAACAGAGACCAAACAGAAACTAAACAGAAACCAAACAGAAACCAAACAGAGACCAAACAGAAACCAAACAGAAACCAAACAGAGACCAAACAGAGACCAAACAGAAACCAAACAGAGACCAAACAGAAACCAAACAGAAACCAAACAGAAACCAAACAGAAACCAAACAGAGACCAAACAGAAACCAAACAGAGACCAAACAGAAACCAAACAGAAACCAAACAGAAACCAAACAGAAACCAAACAGAGACCAAACAGAAACCAAACAGAGACCAAACAGAAACCAAACAGAGACCAAACAGAAACCAAACAGAAACCAAACAGAAACCAAACAGAGACCAAACAGAAACCAAACAGAGACCAAACAGAAACCAAACAGAGACCAAACAGAGACCAAACAGAAACCAAACAGAGACCAAACAGAAACCAAACAGAAACCAAACAGAAACCAAACAGAAACCAAACAGAAACCAAACAGAGACCAAACAGAAACCAAACAGAGACCAAACAGAAACCAAACAGAGACCAAACAGAAACTAAACAGAAACCAAACAGAAACTAAACAGAAACCAAACAGAAACCAAACAGAAACCAAACAGAGACCAAACAGAAACCAAACAGAAACCAAACGGAAACCAAACAGAAACTAAACAGAAACCAAACAGAGACCAAACAGAAACCAAACAGAGACCAAACAGAAACCAAACAGAGACCAAACAGAAACCAAACAGAGACCAAACAGAAACTAAACAGAAACCAAACAGAAACTAAACAGAGACCAAACAGAAACCAAACAGAAACTAAACAGAGACCAAACAGAAACCAAACAGAAACCAAACAGAAACCAAACAGAAACCAAACAGAAACCAAACAGAAACTAAACAGAAACCAAACAGAAACCAAACAGAAACCAAACAGAGACCAAACAGAAACCAAACAGAGACCAAACAGAAACCAAACAGAAACTAAACAGAAACCAAACAGAAACTAAACAGAGACCAAACAGAAACCAAACAGAAACTAAACAGAGACCAAACAGAAACCAAACAGAGACCAAATGGAAACCAAACAGAAACTAAACAGAAACCAAACAGAGACCAAACAGAAACCAAACAGAAACCAAACAGAAACCAAACAGAAACTAAACAGAGACCAAACAGAAACCAAACGGAAACCAAACGGAAACCAAACAGAAACTAAACAGAAACCAAACAGAGACCAAACAGAAACCAAACAGAAACCAAACAGAAACCAAACAGAAACTAAACAGAGACCAAACAGAAACCAAACAGAAACCAAACAGAAACCAAACAGAGACCAAACAGAAACCAAACAGAAACCAAACGGAAACCAAACAGAAACTAAACAGAAACCAAACAGAGACCAAACAGAAACCAAACAGAGACCAAACAGAAACTAAACAGAAACCAAACAGAAACTAAACAGAGACCAAACAGAAACCAAACAGAAACCAAACAGAAACCAAACAGAAACCAAACAGAGACCAAACAGAAACCAAACAGAAACCAAACAGAAACCAAACAGAAACCAAACAGAAACCAAACAGAGACCAAACAGAAACCAAACAGAGACCAAACAGAAACCAAACAGAAACCAAACAGAAACTAAACAGAAACCAAACAGAAACCAAACAGAAACCAAACGGAAACCAAACAGAAACTAAACAGAAACCAAACAGAGACCAAACAGAAACCAAACAGAAACCAAACAGAAACCAAACAGAAACTAAACAGAGACCAAACAGAAACCAAACAGAAACCAAACAGAAACCAAACAGAGACCAAACAGAAACCAAACAGAAACCAAACGGAAACCAAACAGAAACTAAACAGAAACCAAACAGAGACCAAACAGAAACCAAACAGAGACCAAACAGAAACTAAACAGAAACCAAACAGAAACTAAACAGAGACCAAACAGAAACCAAACAGAAACCAAACAGAAACCAAACAGAAACCAAACAGAGACCAAACAGAAACCAAACAGAAACTAAACAGAAACCAAACAGAAACCAAACAGAAACCAAACAGAGACCAAACAGAAACCAAACAGAGACCAAACAGAAACCAAACAGAAACCAAACAGAAACTAAACAGAAACCAAACAGAGACCAAACAGAGACCAAACAGAGACCAAACAGAAACCAAACAGAGACCAAACAGAAACCAAACAGAAACCAAACAGAAACCAAACAGAAACCAAACAGAAACCAAACAGAAACTAAACAGAAACCAAACAGAAACCAAACAGAAACCAAACAGAGACCAAACAGAAACCAAACAGAGACCAAACAAAGACTAAACCAGCAGGTTTGGTGACGGTTTCTGTTGTTCCGTCTCTGATCTTCGTTTCTTTTTTCTCTTGAGAATCTAAACAATAATTTGAATTTATTGAATTTTGTCTTCAGACTCGGCTGGAACACGACCTTCTGATGACCTTTAAACCACTGCTGCCATAAATCCGTTTTAAAGTTTAAAGTCTGATCATCGTTACTGACTCACAACTTTCAGTTTGTTTTGGACAGGAAGTGGAGCGGATGACTTCCTGTAGAGAGATTCAGACCAGAGGGAGGAAACTGATCCAGAGTCTGATGAGATTTTCGTTTTATTGTAAATATTCTAGGCTGATGGGGGAACCGACTCCATCAGCCTCACAGCGCTGTGTGTAAAAGCAGAACCAGAACCAGAACCAGCAGCCGGTTTGGGTTCATTGCTGCTCCTCCATGTCAGGAAACAGAGATAAACTCGTGGGCTGCAGGAAGTGAGTTAACAAACACCAACTTTCAGTTCAGCTTTCTCTCCAGTGACCTTTTGACCTCTCTGATCTGCTGCCTGTGCGTGCAGAGAGGAGGTGCTTCCAGTCTCCTCCTCCTGCTCCTCCTCTCTCCCTCAGCGCTCCAGAGTCTGAACACAGAGAAGTTTTTCCTGTTGCTCTTCTGACTCCCTGATCTCCTGCAGCTCTGTAGATTCCAGCTCTGTAGATTCCTGATCTGTAGATTCCTGATCTTTAGATTCCTGATCTGTAGATTCCCTCGGCAGGATGAGCAGCAACCCGCTGGCCGACAGGATGCAGGCTCGGCTGGAGAGGGCGAAGGCCATGAGGGACGAGGACAAGCTGTACAGACACAACGGGGTGCTGTACCCCACCCTCATGTGTCCGGAGGAACATTTAAGGTGTCTGGACGGCCTGGAGGCCAGAGACGACGACATCCTGCTGGTGGCTTATCCTAAATGTGGTGAGAGGAAGAAACATTTCAAACTTGCATCATTCATTTTGCATGACTGCTTAGTTAGAGGATCATTTGCATCATAAACACCAGAATGATTTATTCACGTTTAGTGAGATGTTTGTTCTCACTGCAGTTGCTGATGAAACTTTTCTGGAAGCAACAGTTTGGTTTCGTGTTGCAGATGTAAACTGTGTGGAGGCCAAGTTAATGTGAAGTAATATTCAGTTATTGATGAAACATTTTGTTTAATATTTAATAAGTGCATTTATTGAGGTTTAGGTAGAATTATTAGTACTGCATGTAGCTAATTTTGTAATGTTTTGTTGTCAATGAGTGTTTTATGTTAAGTTGTATGTTTATAGTTTAGGTGTCCATTTTGCAGTTTATGCAGATGAGGTGTGAACGCAGCAGCGTTAAGGAGGAAGAAAGGAAAGGCGCTGCTAGTTTATCTACAGAGCCACACGGTTTTTCAACCATAGTTGTTTGTGAAGGTTCGTTAAAATACAATATCTCGCAAAAAACTGTGTAATAAATTTTTGTTTGCATCCTTATTTCGGAGCGCTGTGGAAGTTTTTATTTTCCTCTACAAACATGTGAGCGGATACAGCGAAGGAACCTTGTGGCAACACAAACTGGTTTAGCTTAATGAAAGAACAGGAAGCCAGTCGGGACTAAAGCTGCTCTGCAGGTTCACTCACAGGGTTCCTGTCAGAGAAAAGATCACTTCTGTGTCCTGTGACCTCTGACCTCTGTCCACATTTCTCATGGCTGCTGCTGTGGTAAATGTTGGCAACTCACCTGGAGGAGAAACAGGCTGGAAGGAAAAGTTTTCCTGGCTGATCGTCGAGTGTGAAGCGGCTCAGATGGAGGAGAATTTCTGCAAACAGGAAACATTTTCCTGAGATCAGAGATGAATGGACGGATGAGAAGGGATTTCTCTGAAACATGTACAAACATTCCTTTAAGCATCCACATGTGGTTTATATTAACAATCATTTAAATATTTAAAGATATTTCCAGACTGACGATCATTTCATTTCACACAGCTGATGAGGATCAACTGTTGGGCCTGAGATTAAAACCTGAGTTACTAAGAGTTTAATAAAGACACACCTGCAAAGTAAACATCACATTAAAGTGATTCACAGAATAAAACCCTCAATCAGTCAAACGTCGAGACCTGAACAAACTTTAACTCATTAACAATAAACTGACGGCTGCAAAAACAAACTAGAAGCTTTTCTTTCATAAAACTGACAAAAGTGAATAAATGTTCAAACAGCAATAATATCACATAAATCATAAATGTTTAAATCATATTTATACAACATAAATCTGTTTGTACATTATGATCAACAATGACACTTTAAGTTACAGTTTGTATGTTTCTAACATAAACTGGAAATATATTTATATTAAAGATCGTCGTCTTATTAAGTGTCATTTACTTTGCTTAATTTACTGTTTAATTTCATATTTTCAAAAACCAAAGTTAATAAAACCGAGACATTAAAGTGTAAATGAATGTGAAAAAGTTTGATAAATGAACAAACCGGATGAACTGGAGGTCGACGCCCAACTGATCCGTTTTTCAGAACAAACATTAAAATCTTTTCATATTTACCTGAAGGATTTTAACCTGATGAAATATTTCATTTCCCTGTAATCCAACGTGATGAACGACTGCAGCTCCCATTCAAAATAACCGAAAACTTTCTAAAAACTAAAGTCAACATTTTATTTTTACATTATGATTTGATGTGAAAAAATGTTTCAATTAATTTATGAATAAAAAAACTAAACAAGCCAAACATGATGAAAGTTCAGGTTTGAATTTTGTTTTGATGAAAGTTAGTTAATAAACTCAGAAATAACAGATTTGAATGTTTCTATGATTCTTAATGTTTGACATGAGTCACAATAATAACATTTATAATGTCTCTTTAATTGAACATTAATGGCTGTTTGAGCTGTAATGTGTCATCAGCGTCACGTTTCTGAGCTGAACTCCTGGAATGCGACACGTTTCCTAATAACTGTTTATTTTGGAGGAAACTTTTTGCACGACAGCAGCATGAAGACAGACGAGATAATCTGCTGGGGAGGAGCGCTGCTATCTGCAGCCGGTTCTGCAGGCCGAGCTCGGGCCTGCAGAGCGACGCCGTGGAAACGCAGATCTGTGGCTGTTCCTGGGAAACATTTTAGGACAAACTGAACGATTTGAGCTAAATGAGGTTTAAACGACGACGCTCTGGTTCCTGCTCGCCTCTCAATGAACCAGTGAACTGCTTCTGTGTGCAGGATTTAACTGGATGGTTGGCGTTATGAAGAAGGTCATTGCAGAGGCCACCCAGACGCAGAACGAATCCAAGATTTCCCCGCTGATCGAGTTCTTTGGCCCAGAAGTCTTGAAGGTGCTGAAATGAGTCAGAATGTTTCCTTTCAATGCTGAGACGTTCAGTTTGATTTTATTCTCACATCTGTTGAACCCTGAGGTCACATGTAGTGATACTGAGCTTCTGATCAGACTGCAGACGTTAGTAACAAGCAACCAGACCGCTGTCCCAGTTCAGACAGGGCGCGGCACAGCAGGAGGTCAAAGGTCAAACTCTGCTGGTGAAGAATAGAAGGATTGTAACCTGATCCGACAGTCGGAGTGAAGCTGCGTCCAAACGTTAATAATCCAGATTGTCACTGATCTGTTTAAAGGTTCAGTCAGACAATGTAAATCTTAAACTACTGGTCCTGCTGCTCCAGTTAAAGTCCAGTAAAACCAGTTCTGTCAAATGATAAGTTAACGTCTCTGTGACTTTAAAAATAACAAATGACGTCTGGTTTCTTCCTGGACCTGCAAACCAATGTTGGAGGAAACAAAGGAAATCTAAAGAAACTAAAAGCAGCAGATGGATAAAATCTGAGCCTGACCTCAGTAATGGATCAGATACGGTTATTGATCCGAGGTTTAACTGGGAGCAGAAAACATTCTGAATGATCATTTATTCCCCTCCTGTGTTTCCAGGACGTGGTTGAGGCTCCGTCTCCCAGGTTTCTGGGAACTCACCTTCATCCAGACATCATGCCGTCCTCCTTCAGCCAGAAGAAAACAAAGGTACGTCCTGAATCTGCTGCACAGCGAATCCATCTGATGCTTCATGAATATTCTCTGGAAACGACTCTGAGTGCAGCAGGAGCTCAGAGGAAACCAGCGTCTGTCTGCGCTTCCATCAGCTCCAGTTTCATGATCAAACTGCACCGTTTCTCCCAGATGGTGGTGGTCTTCAGGAACCCAAAGGACACCTTGGTCTCCTACTATCATTTCTGCAACAACAACCCGGTTCTGCCGTCTGTGGAGTCCTGGGATTCTTTCTTCTCCCAGTTCATGAAAGGAGACGGTGAGTGGGAACCGTCAGGGTGGCGGCGCTGCAGAGACGAGACGTTACCAACAGGAGAAACAGGAGCAGAAGAAACTCCACGAGTTTTCTGTTGGGAAAAACATCCAACATTCAGGAGGTCAGCTGTCTGCAGCTCTTTAACACATTCATGAGGATAAAAAACAGTTTTCAAGATAAATGCAGCAACAAAGCAGGTTTTGGTTATTTTCCAGGTTTTTCATGGAATAATTGAATCTAATTTCCACAACAGAAAAAGTTGCCAGTGAAAGTCATTTTATCTCCATCTGTTTGTATTATGAATATTATAACATGGAGCAGCAGCCAAAGGTTGGGACTGAATGAGGAGGTGAATATAGACGACGAACTTCCAGAGAGAAAATCTGCTGTTTACTGAGTCACTCAGAAAATAACATCAGATTTTTATTCTCCATTCAGTGATAAAAACTAGAGGAGGATAAAATACTGAAGTTACTTTTACTTTGAAATGATGCAGCAAAAGTTTAGTGCACTAAAATTATCATTATTAAAGTTCCTCCAGTAAATAGAACCAGTAAAGGGAACCAGTAGATGGAACCAGTAAAGGGAACCAGTAGATGGAACCAGTAAAGGGAACCAGTAGATGGAACCAGTAAATAGAACCAGTAAATAGAACCAGTAAAGGGAACCAGTAGATGGAACCAGTAAAGGGAACCAGTAGATGGAACCAGTAAATAGAACCAGTAAATAGAACCAGTAAAGGGAACCAGTAGATGGAACCAGTAAATAGAACCAGTAAATAGAACCAGTAAATAGAACCAGTAAATAGAACCAGTAAAGGGAACCAGTAGATGGAACCAGTAAATAGAACCAGTAGATGGAACCAGTAAAGGGAACCAGTAGATGGAACCAGTAAAGGGAACCAGTAGATGGAACCAGTAAAGGGAACCAGTAGATGGAACCAGTAAATAGAACCAGTAAATAGAACCAGTAAAGGGAACCAGTAGATGGAACCAGTAAAGGGAACCAGTAGATGGAACCAGTAAAGGGAACCAGTAGATGGAACCAGTAAATAGAACCAGTAGATGGAACCAGTAAAGGGAACCAGTAGATGGAACCAGTAAATAGAACCAGTAAATAGAACCAGTAAAGGGAACCAGTAGATGGAACCAGTAAATAGAACCAGTAAATAGAACCAGTAAAGGGAACCAGTAGATGGAACCAGTAGATGGAACCAGTAGATGGAACCAGTAAAGGGAACCAGTTCCTGTCCAGCTTCTCATGATATTTGCACTCAGACATTATTTCCATGTTTCGTTCATCAGATTTATTCTGTTTATGGCATCAAAGCTCCTGAGATAATAAACTGATCAATATTGATCAGTTTGCTGATTAGGTTTTGGTTTCTGGTCTCTAGAATCATATGAATGGTTTCACTGGTTGCCAGTATCTTATGACCAGTTCTAGAAACGATGCCCGTATGACAGAAACCATGGATAAGTCATGTTTTTGTGCAGTTGCCTGGGGTTCGTACTTTGACTACGCCTTGGCCTGGAACAGGAGGATGGACGACCCCAACGTCCTGCTGGTGACCTTTGAGGCCCTGAAGCAGGTCAGTCCTCTGATTCCTCAACCTGAAATGGAAATCTGCTCTCACCATGTTTCCTGTCCTCAGGATCTCAGCGCAGGCATCCGGCAGATCTCCAGCTTCCTGGGCTTCAGCCTGACGGAGGCGCAGGTGCAGCAGGTGGCAGCGGGCAGCACCTTCAACGCCATGAAGGAGAGTTCAGCCAGGTCCCACGGCAACATGGGAAACGTCATCTTCAGGAAAGGTCGTCTGCAAGGAAAACATTCATCTTCCAACAGTGAAACGAGTCGGTTCCCCTCTAAAATGATCCGTCGGATCTCCTCCCTGTGCAGGTGAGGTTGGAGACTGGAGGAACCATTTCAGTCCAGAACAGAACCGAGAAATGGACCAAGCTTTCAGCAAACACCTGGCAGGAACAACGCTGGGAGCACAGCTGGACTACCAGCGTTACTGTCAGTAGAGAGGAGGAGGAGGAGGAAGAGGAGGAGGAGGAAGAGGAGGAAGAGACAGAGAGGAAGAGGAGGAGGAAAGAGGAGGAGCAGGAGGAGGAGGAGTGTAGGTGGAGCGTCGGTCGGTTCTGCCTGACAGACTGAACTCAGGGCAAAACTCCCACAGCTCAACACAAGACAGAAAAATAAGACACAATAATTTGGTTATAATCGGTTTTATTTCACTGCAGATATTAAAAATAACGTTTGATATTTTGAAGCAATTTAAGCAACTTATGATAAACTGAAAGAAATGAACATGATGAAATGAACAGCAGAGAAGGAGCAACAAATATTTAATAGAAATGTTAGAAACTGAAACTTATTAGATTATTAAAAATATATTTTATTTGGTTCTTCTAGTCCCTTTAAATATTAAACAGGATTTTGTTGGATTTTCTTATTTTTTTATTTTTGTTTCTTGGATAAATCCCATGAGGATTAAACTTAAATCATTGTGAAAAATACTTTAATGAAATAAAATGACATTAATAAGCAAAAGAGAATATTGCTGATATTTTCCCATGAATCCAAAACACTGATTTTGTTCATAAACAGAATATTAGCAGAACTTTGCTTCATTTATATTTGACTGAAAATCTGGACTGAATTCATTTTGTGCAACAACTTTAAATGACAGCAAATATGAACAGCAAGAGTTTTGGGGAAACACTTGTTATTGTCTGAGGAGGAAGATCCAGAATGAGGCAAGAAAAATGTTAAATTATCCAGAAAAACTTTTAATTCATAGCAGTGAGTCTGAAACAAAAGCTAAACCTCCAAAGGTCGAGGAAAAGGTCAGACCTGTGTTTCTAAGAGCTGCAGCCTCTGGGAGGAAGCAGCTCTGCCACAGACAGGAAGCTGGATGACAAAACCACTGCAGAAACAGCTCCCCCTAGTGGATGGACATGGAATACCAACAAAATAAAGGAGCAACAAACCGTTTCCAGATGTTTGATTCATAATAATTCATAATAATTGTAACATTGATCCACATATTTGATGAATATTTGCTTCATTATTATCTGACAGCATTTAATGTTTCACATTTTAACACTATATTATTATTATGGGGAAAAGAACTTTGAACTCTTGTCAATAAACTTGATTTTTACTTTTGATTTTTACAGAGAAAATTTCTCTGACATGAGAAACTTTAGTTTCTCAGAACCAGTGAAGAACCAGGCCCCCAGACACAAAACCCAGCATAGAGAGGTTCAGTGAATGTGGTTTTATAGGTGTAGACGTGGATCAGTGAGTCGGAGGAAACTTTGTAGAAAGACAGAATCCCAGCAGGAATATCCACATACACTCCAACTCTGTGAGAAAAAAAGGAGGAGTGGAAACGAGGTTGTATGTGATTGTGTCTGACATAAACCTCATCTTGACCACAGGTGATCAGACCCCAGGAATGATCATTTCCTCCAAACCAACAGGCTGCACTGTTTACTTTCCTCTTGATTCTCCTGTAACAAACCACTATGTCAACAGCTCCACTCCACTCAACCTCCCAGTAACAGCGACCAGTAAGAGGAGCTTCACACAGGGCATTGCAAAAATGATCAAATCTGTCTGGATGATCAGGATATGGCTGAGCCTGGTCCACATTTGACATCTTCCTGTTATCTTCAGACAGTTTCACGTTTCTGTTCACTGTGTTTGTGTCGATGGTGAGTTGACAGGAATCTGATGGAGAGAAGAAACACAATCCAGCTGCAGTTATTGATCATTTATTGATCTTTGATGACTCCTGAATGAGTGATGTGACTCTGTGAAGATGGTTGTTATTATGAATCAGATGAAAAACACTCTTACATTTCCTCAGCCCTGGTGTCAAGAATCGGACTCCAGCAGGCTCCACCCTGAAAGGAGGACGGGGGTCAGAGGTCAGCAAACATGGACATTACACACACACACACATATATATATACACACACACACACACACACACACACACACACATATATATATATATATATATATATATATATATATATATATACACACACTGACACACACACACCTACACACACACACACACACACTCACACACACACACACACACACACACACACACACACACACACACACACACACACACACACACACACACACACACACACACACACACACACACACACACACACACACTGTTATCTACAGCTATTGATCTAGAGTTATAGACCTAGAGATATAGATATAGATCTCGAGTTGCTACAGCTGGAAACTAGACATCAGACGTCTGGGAGTAGTGATGACCTCTGACCTTAACCTTCAGAGCCACATAAAGACAGTGAAGTCGGCCTCCATCCTCCAACAGAACATTTCTAGAAGACTAAGACCCAGAGAAACTGAACTGCTGCATTGATCACTGCAACAGCATCTTCAAAGGTCTGAAACTAAACCTGCAGCTGCAGCTGATCCAGATGCTGCTGCAGTTCTGACAAAAACCAGGAAGTTGGAGACACGAGAGCCGTTCTCCAGTTCCTCCACTGTCTCCCTGCAGCTCAGAGAACAGACCTTAAAGACTGATGTGTTGGGAACTGTTCCCTGGTAACTCTCTATCCTCCATACCTGAGAGTTTCCAGTCTCCAATGTGGATCTTTCAGTCCAGCCGACAGCAGCTTCACTCCTGAGTCTCCTGGATGATTGTAGCTCAGGTCCAACTCTTTCAGATGGGAGGGGTTAAAGGTCAGAGCAGAGGCCAGAGAAGCACAGCCTTCCTCTGAGATCAAGCAGCCTGACAATCTGCAGACACACAGAGGGAGAAACCAAAGTCTGAACTGGACACTTCATCAGGAAAATAAAACTTTATCTTTATACGACACATTTAAACAGACGATTCTCCACCAGTTTGGGTGGAAACTACAAACTGACCCAATCTAGAGTTTCTTCAAACTGGAACTAAAATACTAGGGACTAACTAACTGGTCCCAGTGGATCTACTGGTCTTGAGACTAGAAGCTTTAGCCTGACAGTCCAACAGGCTCGGTTCCACTGGGAACCAGAACATTTCTTCCATTTTCAGCTGCTGAAATCCACTTTCACACCAGATTAATGGGAAACATTACATTCTACAAACAAATGGATCAATTAGTCCAGTTTTTTATCTTTTATTGACAGCAGCAGCAATGAGCAGTAGCAACGGCCATTTTGTTTCTACTGCACATTTTCAGCAACAAGGAAAAACAAATAGGATCATCCATCAATCATCCATCATCCATCCATCCTCCATCCATCCATCATCCATCCATCCATCCATCCATCCATCATCAATCCATCCATCATCAATCCATCCATCCTCCATCCATCCATCCATCCATCATCCATCATCTATCCATTATCCATCCATCCATCATCCATCATCTATCCATCATCCATCCATCCATCCATCATCCATCATCCATCATCCATCCATCATCCATCATCCATCCATCATCCATCCATCCATCATCTATCCATCCATCATCTATCCATCATCCATCATCTATCCATCATCCATCATCCATCCATCCATCAATCATCTATCATCTATCCATCATCCATTCATCATCCATCATCCATCCATCATCCATCCATCCATCATCAATCTATCCATCATCATCTATCCATCATCATCCATCATCCATCATCCATCATCTATCCATCATCCATTCATCATCCATCATCCATCATCCATCCATCCATCATCTATCCATCCATCATCCATCATCTATCCATCCATCCATCCATCATCCATCATCCAGCCATCATCCATCCATCATCCATCCATCATCCATCCGTCCATCCATCCATCATCCATCCATCATCTATCCATCATACATCATCCATCCATCATCCATCCATCTATCATCTATGCATCCATCCATCATCCATCATCCATCCATCATCCATCCATCCATCATCTATCCATCAATCATCCATCCATCATCCATCCATCCATCATCCATCATCCATCCATTATCCATCCATCCATCATCCATCATATCTCATCATCCATCCATCCATCATCCATCCATCCATCATCCATCATCCATCCATCCATCATCCATCATCCATCCATCATCCATCCATCATCCAGCCATCATCCATCCATCCATACATTCTTCCATCCATCCATCATCCATCCATCATCCATCAATCATCCATCCATCCATCATCCATCAATCCATCATCCATCATCCATCCATCCATCATCCATCCATCTATCATCCATCATCCATCCATCATCCATCATCTATCAATCATCCATCCATCCATCTATCCATCCATCATCCATCCATCATCTATCCATCCATCCATCCATCATCCATCATCCATCCATCATCCATCATCCATCCATCATCTATCCATCCATCCATCCATTCATCCATCATCCATCCATCATCTATCCATCCATCCATCCATCATCCATCATCCATCCATCATCCATCATCCATCCATCATCCATATATCCATCATCCATCTATCATCCATCCATCATCCATCCATCATCCATCAGTCCATCCATCATCCATCATCCATCATCCAGCCATCATCCATCATCCAGCCATCATCCATCATCCATCCACCCATCATCCATCATCCATCAATCCATCCATCATCCATCCATCCATCATCCAGCCATCATCCAGCCATCATCCATCATCCTTCCACCCATCATCCATCATCCATCCGTTCATCCATCATCCATCCATCATCCATCCGTCCATCCATCATCCATCCATCATCCATCCGTTCATCCATCATCCATCCGTCCATCCATCATCCAGCCATCATCCATCCATCCATCATCCATCATCCATCCGTTCATCCATCATCCATCCATCATCCATCCGTCCATCCATCATCCAGCCATCATCCATCCATCATCCATCATCCATCCGTCCATCCATCATCCATCCATCTATCCATCCATCATCCATCCATCATCCATCCATCAATCATCATCCATCATCCATCCACCATCCATATATCCATCATCCATCCATCCATCATCCATCATCCATCCATCCATCATCCTCCATCAATCCATCATCCATCCATCCATCCTCCATCCATCATCCATCATCCATCCATCCATCCATCATCCATCCATCATCCATCCATTCCATCCATCATCCATCCATCCATCCATCTTCCATCCATCCATCATCCATCCATCCATCTGTCCATCCATCCATCATCCATCCGTCCATCATCCATCCATCCATCATCCATCCACCCATCCATCCATCATCCATCCATCATCCATCCATCCATCCATCCCATCCATCCATCCATCATCCATCCATCCAGCATCCATCATCCATCCATCCATCCATCATCCATCATCCATCCATCCATCATCCATCCATCCATCCATCATCCATCACCATCATCCATCATCCATCATCCATCCATCCATCCATCCTCCATCCATCATCCATCCATCCATCCATCCATCCATCATCCATCCATCCATCCATCATCCATCATCCATCCATCCATCCATCCATCATCCATCGTCCATCCGTCCATCATCCATCCATCCATCCATCCATCATCCATCCATCCATCCATCCTTCATCCATCCATCCATCATCCATCTACCATCCATCCATCCATCCATCCATCATCCATCCATCAATCCATCATCCATCATCCATCCATCCATCATCCATCCGTCCATCATCCTCCCATCATCCATCATCCATCATCCATCCACATCATCATCCATCCATCATCCATCCATCCATCATCCATCCATCATCCATCATCCATCCATCATCCATCTGTCCATCCATCCATCATCCATCCATCATCCATCCTCATCCATCCATCCATCATCCATCCATCCATCCATCATCCATCCATCCATCCATCCATCCATCCATCATCCATTATCCATCCATCATCCATACATCCATCATCCATCCATCATCTATCAGTCCATCCATCATCCATCCATCCATCATACAGCCATCATCCATCATCCATCCATCCATCCATCATCCATCCATCATCCATCGTTCATCCATCGTCTATCCATCATCATCCATCCATCCCTCCATCATCCATCCGTCCATCCATCATCCATCAATCATCCATCATCCATCCATCCATCATCCATCATCCATCATCCAGCCATCATCCATCATCCATCCACCCATCATCCATCATCCATCCGTTCATCCATCATCCATCCATCATCCATCCGTCCATCCATCATCCATCCATCATCCATCCGTTCATCCATCATCCATCCATCATCCATCCGTCCATCCATCATCCAGCCATCATCCATCCATCCATCAATCCATCATCCATCCGTTCACCATCGTCTATCCATCATCCATCCATCCCTCCATCATCCATCCGTCCATCCATCATCCATCAATCCATCCATCATCCATCCATCCATCATCCAGCCATCATCCATCATCCAGCCATCATCCATCATCCATCCACCCATCATCCATCATCCATCCGTTCATCCATCATCCATCCATCATCCATCCGTCCATCCATCATCCATCCATCATCCATCCGTTCATCCATCATCCATCCATCATCCATCCGTCCATCCATCATCCATCCATCATCCATCATCCATCCGTCCATCCATCATCCATCCATCTATCCATCCATCATCCATCCATCATCCATCCATCCATCAATCATCAATCCATCATCCATCCATCCATATATCCATCATCCATCCATCCATCATCCATCATCCATCCATCCATCATCCATCCATCAATCCATTCCATCCATCCATCCTCCATCCATCATCCATCATCCATCCATCCATCCATCATCCATCCATTCAACCATCCATCATCCATCCATCCATCCATCTTCCATCCATCCATCATCCATCCATCCATCCATCTGTCCATCCATCCATCATCCATCCGTCCATCATCCATCCATTCATCAACCATCCATCCATCCATCATCCATCATCCATCCATCCATCATCCATCCATCCATCATCCATCCATCCAGCATCCATCATCCATCCATCCATCCATCATCCATCATCCATCCATCCATCATCCATTATCCATCCATCCATCCATCATCCATCCATCCATCAACCATCCATCCATCATCCATCCATCCATCCATCCTCCATCCATCATCCATCCATCATCCATCATCAATCCATCCATCATCAATCCATCCATCCATCCTCCATCCATCCATCCATCCATCATCCATCATCTATCCATTATCCATCCATCCATCCATCATTATCCATCATCCATCCATCCATCCATCATCCATCCATTTATCCATCATCATCATCATCCATCCATCCATCATCCATCCATCATCCATCCATCCATCATCAATCTATCCATCCATCATCTATCCATCATCCATCATCTATCCATCATCCATCATCCATCCATCCATCATCCATCCATCCATCATCTATCATCTATCCATCATCCATTCATCATCCATCATCCATCCATCATCCATCCATCCATCATCAATCTATCCATCCATCATCTATCCATCATCCATCATCCATCATCCATCATCTATCCATCATCCATTCATCATCCATCATCCATCATCCATCCATCCATCATCTATCCATCCATCATCCATCATCTATCCATCCATCCATCCATCATCCATCATCCAGCCATCATCCATCCATCATCCATCCATCCATCCGTCCATCCATCCATCATCCATCCATCATCTATCCATCATACATCATCCATCCGTCCATCCATCATCCATCC